GAAGTGATGAAACGGGCCTATTTTTCGGCCTGCAAAGGCTGCAGAAGCTGTCCTCAAGCCTCTGGGGGGCCGAAAAAGGCCTCAAACGGACCAAAAATCAGCTATGAGGCACAGTGCAGCTAAGGGGCCGGTGGGGGGTGGGATTGCGCGCACATGTGCAGGGGACGGGGGGGCGCACACATTGTCTTCTGGGTGCTGGCATGTTAGTGCGTGTGCGCAAGCATAATTTTTGGCACAGGAGCCCAAAAAGGTTAACCACCACTGGTCTAGATATTGCTATTATATCACTGCACACGTATCTTAGAAAGTAAACATGGGATCCGGTGCTTTGACGAAAATGACAAAATGAGCATCATCCTGAGGTACATAGAAAAAGGGGCGGAGCCTGTGTCATAATAGTGCAATGTTGTTTGTTTGATCTTTTGCTTCCCCTTGCATGGGGGGTCTCTGCTAGTACATGAAGCATATCGTCAACTCATAAAACATTTCTATGGCCATTTTATATCTGCCAACAGAAAGGGAGGGGGGAAAGGGGTTTGAAAGAGCATTGCAGCAGCTTGGAAATGAAAGTGCATTTCATTCATAGTTTTTCAGAGATTGTAACTAGGTGACTGAAGTTTCTGCCGCACAAAAATCTAATTGGAGAACATGATTGATGACTCTTGGCTATGGATGTGTCCCATTGGAGAATAGGAATTATGATACACCCAGGGGGTGGGGTCAAGGGTGACAATGAATTACGTGTCTCAGAGTCGGCTACACCCAGGTCATGCCGACATGTTAACTCCCAATAAATCCTGTTTAATTTTAGAAGTTTGGCTCGAGACTCATGATTTAAGTGGGGTAACTGACGGAATCCTGACACATATGTGATATCTTTTGAGGGCCAAACAAAATTTGGGAGGTAAATGGCCCAGGTTCATTGAGCCATTGGTCTAGTGCAGGGGTGTCAAACTTGATTTCATTGAGGGCTGCATCAGGGTTGTGCTTGACCTCGAGGGGATGGGGGGTATGGTCGAGGGGGGGCATGGCCAGCTCGACATCACTTGTTTTATGGGCACCTGTGGTGGCCCGGGTAGGGCTGGGGGGGATCCTCCTGCAGCCCTCTGCCAGCAAAAATGGCGCTCAAGAGGGCCTCCCGAGCTGCATTTTTGCTGGCAGAGACACCATGGGCCGGTCCTTCGCTGTTTCCAGGGCAACCCCATGGGCCAGATCTAAGCATACCATGGGCCAGATCCGGCCCGTGGGCCTTGAGTTTGACACCCCTGGTCTAGTGGTTAAGAGCACCAGGCTAGAAACTGGGAGACTGTGAATTCTAGTCTTGCATTGGGGATGAAAGCCAGCAGGATGATCTTGGGCCAATTACCATGAGACTTTGAGTTCTAGCCCTGCCTTAGGCGTGAAAGTCAGCTGAATGACACTGGGCCAGCCATTCAGTCAAACTCACCTCACAGGGTTGTTATTTTGGGGAAAATAGGAAGAGGAAGTTGTGTTGGATATGTTCGCCACTGTCATGCCCCTGGTGGAGTTTGACGCTGAGGGAGAGGAGGAACAGCCGACAGGGAGTGGAAGTGTGGCTCTGGAGGTTGTGGAGGAGGCTGGGGAAGGGCAGAGGCCGGTTGGGCAGTCAGAAGAGGACCCAGGCCCATCCCCTATCCATCCTAGGGCACACAGGGAAGATAGGATAAGGGAGAGACGTGGCCTACTCAGGAGGAGAGGGCCTTGATCCTCTTCATGGGCTGCAGCTGTGACAACTGAATGGACAGACATGTGTACAGGCGAACGCTGGAAACAAAGCATGGAAATTTCTCTAGTTTATGGTTCCTCTCTGAGTTTGGCGTCCTTCCCAGTGTGTGTTATCTATGGACATCCTCCAGCCCTTATATCTTGCCTGGTTTGTCTTTTTTCCTTCTTCTTGTAACTGTTTGTGTGGGAGTTTTTTTGTCTTCTGTCAAGAGTATTCGGAGCTTGGAAGCAAAGTGAAGGAATAAAAGGGGCTTCACCTGTTTCCTATGACTGTGTTTGTTTTGTATCCCACCCTGGGTCATCACAGCCACCTTGAATTATTTGTGAAAATAATAAAGGCAGGATACAAATACATAAATAATTAGGTAGTCCTCAACTTACAAAAACAATTCAAGCCCAAAATTTCTGACAGTTGTTAAATGAGTTTTTCCCCATGGTATGAACTTTTTTGCCACAATCGATAAGTGAACCACGGCTGTTGTTAAGTTAGTAACACAGTTGTGAAGCGAGTCTGGGTACCCCATTGATTTTGCTTGTCAGAAGGTGGCAAAAAATGTTCACATGATCCTGGGACACTGCAACCATCATAAATATATGCCAATTGGCAAGCATCCGAATTTTGCTGACGTGAACATGGGGATGCTGCAATACTTGTTAAGTGAAACACGTCGTAAGTCACTTACATGAAACCAAAAGTCTTGGTGACTTGGAGGATTACCTGTGTTGAGATGGTTCGTCGCACAGTTTATTGTTATTAATAAATTATAAGATATATATTATAAGAGAAGCAACTTAGAACTAAGGAGAAATTTCCTGACAGTTAGAACAATTAATCAGTGGAACAACTTGCCTCCAGAAGTTGTGAATGCAACAACGCTGGAAGTTTTTAAGAAGAGATTGGATATCCATTTGTCTGAAGTGGTGTAGGGTTTCCTGCCTGGGCAGGGGGTTGGACTAGAAGACCTCCAAGGTCCCTTCCAACTCTGTTATTCTATATTATCCTTTTGGCATCCAGATGGTCCACCAAACAAGAATACAGATTCTAGGTTTAGCCTAACCCTAAACCTAAAAATAAATTATACACCAGAAATGTTCCTATTAGGAATAACACATGAGAATCTTAAAAAAAAGCAGATATATATCTAATTAGTCATATTATCACAGCCGCAAGATTATCAATTGCCCAAACCTGGAAATTAAAAAAAAAAACCTAACGACAAAGTAATAATACAAACATTTTTATACTGCGCCGAGTTAGATTAACATTAGAACTGAAGGAGCAAGATACTGCAGAATTCTATGAAATATGGAAAAAAAAATATAATTGGAGGGATGTGAAAGGAAGTCAAAAAAATGTGAAATAGAAACTAAAGAAAGAGCTTATACCGCAACAAAATGTCTAAGATAGAAACAGATACAAAGATTTATAATGTAAATAAGTATATAGATGTGTGTGTGTGTGTGTGTGTGTGTGTGTGTGTGTGTGTGTGTGAATATTGTTTGATGACATTCTGCTATTATAATAATGTAAAGACTGTTGATATATGTCAAAAGATCACCATCACTTAAAAATTGTGTTTTTAAAATCTAATTTTCAATAAAAATGTATATATACAGTATATAAACAAAGAATACAGATTCCAGGGGATGGGAGAAAACTCACCTGCCAGGCTGGGAGAACTTTTCCAATGTCGTTTAAGTTGATTCCATCTCCTTCTTCACATTTTCCTTTGCCAATTCTAAACCAGGGATAGACAAATGGGTCAAGTAAAGCACAATTTATGTATTTTGCTTATTATTTATTAAGCAAATTTCTATGGCGGACCAACTCACACACGGTGACTCTGGGTGGCTTGCAAGATTAAAATTTCACAATGCAAAAATTCATCACACAACACACACACACACACACACACACACACACACACACACAGCAGTGGCCGCAACCAAACAATCACACCAGTCACTTGATCAGCTCCATATCAACCTGGACTCCCCAGGCCTTGCTGGAAGAACCACATCTTCAGGGCATTCTGAAAAGGTATTAAGGTGGGGGCCAATCTTATATCTAGGCAAATGGCAAAAAGCCTCGATGGTGCAGTGGTTAGAGTACAGTACTGCAGGCTACTTCTGCTGACTGCCAGCTGCCTGAAATTCGGCAGATCAAATCTCACCAGGCTCAAGGTTTACTCAGCCTTCCATCCTTCCGAGGTGGGTAAAATGAGGACCCAGATTGTTGGGGACAAGAGGCTGACTCTGTAAATCGCTTAGAGAGGGCTGTAAAAGCATTGTAAAGCGGTATATAAGTCTAAGTGCTACTGCTATTGCTATTTCAAAGGGAGAGAGCCACCACACAGAAGGCCCTGTTCCTTTGTCCCACTAGATGTACTTCCCTAATTGATTGACCTGCAACAGGTAGTTTGCCTGTGTGAAACTGCACACATAATTAAAGGTGACATTGATTTTTTTTTGGGGGGGGGAGAAAAATCAGGGTAGTTTTTCTCAAATTATAGGACAAATAAAGACAAAAAATAATATTTTTTTCTTCTTACGATTATAACTTTTATTCATGTACCCTTTGTTTCTATGATGGCAAAATGCTTGCAAGGGTATGCATTCTGTAGCCCCACCAAGATTCCTATTTGCCAAGCTTGCAAAGGATTCTGGGCATTGTACTGTATTATTATCATAGATTGCCTTTCCTTGCAAGGGGTCTTTATGCTTTCCTTACCTTGGCTTTTGTTTCATACGAAGACTTGCAGGAACATAATATACCGGACCTGCTATTTCCTCAAGGTAAACTTCACATTTAATATTTACACAGCACAATGATCTTTTCACTTCCTGCCCCTAAGCCAGTGTAGCTCAGTCAAACAGTGTACAATTGTGGCTTGGAATACTGAGACCCAGAAAAAAGGGGAAATCATGGGGAAAAAGGGGGTGAAAAGAACATTTTTCTCTAAAGCCTTTTGGTTTGTGGGATTTCCCCCCACTCCAGTTAAAATAAATAGGAGGAAAGAGATTTATGAAATAGTTCCTATTATCTTTATTTCAAATCAAACACAAATAGATCTGTGTCTGGTAATATTTACACCAAATCAAAACAGTAATGTGTAAATTGACATCGAGACACAACTGGTAATTGGACTTCAACTGGATTCGTCAACATCTCACATTGTAAAATATATGTTCTGAGCCTTAGCTCTCTTAACTGTCTCACTTAGCAACACAAATTTTGGGGTCAACTGTGGTCATAGGTTGAGGACTGTGTGTACAGTATTGTCACAAGCACTATGTGAGGATGTTGATTTTAGTTCTGCATTTAACACAATTCTTCCACATAGACTAGTGTCTAAATTTCTGGACCTTGGACTTTCTTATTCAATCTGCCTTTGCTTTATGGATTACCTGTCTGGCCGCTCACAGAGGGTCAGATTAGGTAATCATACCTCTTCAGCCCTTATTCTTAACACTGGTACACCACAAGGTTGCATGTTGAGTCCCTTACTCTATATTCTTTATGTGCATGACTGCATTCCCACTCACGCTAGTAATACTATTACTAAATTTGTAGATGATACAACAGTGGTGGGACTCATCTATGGGGGGATGAGTCTGCCTATCGAGATGAGGTGGACCGGTTGCTTTCATGGTGTGGAGACAATAACTTGGTCCTCAACACCAAGGAGCTTATAGTGGACTATAGAAGGAACAGATCAGACATCCAGCCCTTGCTTATCAATGGAGACCGAGTGGAGCAAGTGGCCAGTTTTAAGTTTCTGGGTGTTACCCTAAAAGAGGACATGACCACTCACATTGCAACCCTGGTCAAAAAGGCCCAGCAGAGGTTATACGACCTGAGACTTCTCAGAAAACAGCAACCGAATGAAAAACTGCTGGTGACCTTCTACCGCTGCACCATAGAGAGTATCTTAACTTACTGCACCTCCGTATGGTTTGCCAATTGCACAGGGGCAGATAGGACAGCACTCCAGAGGGTTAACGTCATTGCCCAGAAGATCACTGGTTGCCCTCTCCCCTCTTTGGAAGAGCTTTAGAGCTCCTGCTGCCTTAAGAAAGTTCAAAACATTCTCAAAGATCCATCTCATCCTGGGCACCCTTTTTTTTGAACTATTACCATCTGGCAGACGGTACAGGACAATAAAAACAAGGACAAATAAGCTGAAAAACAGCTTCTATCCCAGGGAAGGAATTCTATTGAATTCTACTGTATAGTGCAATATTAATGCAATATCAGGGGTTTTCAATTCAATGTACAGAATTTGAAGGTTGTGTGTTTGTGTTTATTTTCATAGTCATGATGTGCACTGGTGTTTGATTTCATTGTACAAGGTGCAATGACAATAAGGTAAACTAAACTAAACTAAACTGAACAATTCAAGTGGACTGAAGTCTTTCTGCCTTTTGATCAAGGTTTATCCTGATTCTCCCCAACTTGGTATCTGCCGTCTGATGGCTAAGAATTCTCTGATTAGTCCCAGCCCCTCCGCAAAGCCAGGAAAGTTACCAGGGTAGCAAAACCGACTTCCTGCATTTTAAAATCTTTCTTTCGTATAAACCGGATACTTACCCTTCTCTGTCTATCTGTGGAAGAGGATGCTTGGGAGTGTTGCGAAGTTTTCTATGGAACTGTGTGAAGTCAAGTTTCTCTGGTTGCAAATCCCAGGTGGCCCCACTGCAGAATAAAAATATATATATGAAGAAATAGAAAAGCTGAAGATTTGGAAGGAAACACTGTGTAAAATGGTAACTGGGTTTAACAAAGAATTGGGAGCACTAGGCAAACTAATATAACATTTCATTACCAGGGCATTGATGATGTTGCCTAGTCAGGTAATGAAACGTCTACAAGAAAATAATCAAGCTCAGAGAGCAGCAAGGAGCTCTCAATTCAATCCGAGCTACAAATATTCTGTTCTATCGAAACTGATGTTAGGCTGTATATTGAGGGTGACTGCAATCAAATAAACCAACCATATTACTGAAGTGAAGAAGGCAGTCCAGGTAAAACCTTCTGCCCTTGTGAAAAACATAATCATAATAACAATAACAACAACAATAGCAATAACAATAATAACAATAACAATAATAATTTACTGTCATTGTACATATTATACACAGTATACATATACAACGAAATTAACATAACAGCCAGAGACCAGTCCCAACACTCACACCCACATGACAATCCCCAAACCCCCCAAAATTTCCCGCCCCTTAAAAACACACAAGCATCCACACAACAGACCAAGTGATACTGTCCAACAGCTTACTGATTGTGATCCTTAAGTTCATTGTTAAGTGCAATTATAGCTCTGGGATAAAAACTGTTCGGAAAACATGAGGTCCAAGTTTTAATTGTTCTGTATCTTCTGTCAGAAGGCAACAGTTCACAAAGATTGTAAGCAGGATGGGAAGAGTCTCTGTGAATATTGTGCAACTTCCTCAAACAGTGAGATGCGAAGATGTCGTCCAGGGCTGGTAGCTGGAGCCTGGTGATATTTTGGGCAATTTTAATGATTCTCTGTAAAGCTTTTTTGTCTGCTACAGAGTTGCTCCCATACCATGCAAGAATGCTATATGTCAGGACATAAGAATCAGAACGAGAGAATGTCTACACTGCAAATTTGTTCCACCTTTGACAACTGACTGATTTGATGGCAAACAAAATTATATGTGTATTAGTCCTTAAGCTGAATTACTAAGACATTTATTAAGACCCTTTGATGTTCCAACTGGTAAATGGAGATGTACAAAATGGAACTGAAATTATGACAAGAGCGACAGAGCAAAATGTGAATTAATAAAGAGCGATGGAATCCAGAGAAGTTATTAAACCCACAAATAGCATCTGAATGTTGGGCCTCTTTTGATACCTGAAAGGGCAGGAAAGGGCAGGTGACCAAAACTTCAGCTATCAAAATGAAACTGATCTTTCAAGTATGAACACGAAGGCAGAGGTGGTAGGCGGAGGCAGTGCAGCCGACGGGTGGTGGCGTGGCTACGGGAAGCAGCCCCGGGAGTTCCTGCCCTCCCTTTTGGGGCGCCGCTTGCTGCACCGCAGCTGCCACGTGGTAGGGAGACCGTCACATGGCAGCTTAGCCAGACAGCCGAGCCCAGGGGCAGTGGGGGTGGTGGCAAGATCTGGGAACGGTGGGAGGCCCTGGGAAGATCTGGGAACAGTGGGGGAGCCCGCAAGATCTTGGAACGGGAGGGCAGCAAGATCTGGGAACAGTGGGGGGCCCAGCAAGATCCGGGAATGAGGGGGCAGCAAAATCTGGGAACAGTGGTGGCCCCAGCAAGATCCGGGAATGTGGGGGCTAGCATGACTCACAGGCTTACCTGTGAGCAGGCAGATCTGGGCTGCTCAGTTGGGGCACAGGCACCACGTGGGAAGGCAGGTTAAAGGCAAGCCACGAGGACCCAGCATACAAGGAGTGATTGGGTGGGGTGAACGTCAGGTAAGCGGGACGAGCGAGCATTGGGTGGGGCAAGCGAGCAAGCGGCGACCAGTCGGGGGCATGGCCAGCCAAAAGTCACTACCGGTTTGGTGACCCATGCCAAATCGTTGCTACCGGTTCACCTAAACCGGTTCAAACCAGCTGAATATCACCACTCCGTGACCCTGTTTTCCCCCTCCCCCCTTGGTGTTTCATCAATCAGATTCTCCAACAAAGCCACGGGCTGGGTGTCATCAATCACATTCTCCAATGAAGGATTTTCATGGGCAGAAGATCTGGTAGCCTAGCTACAATCTTTGTAAGATAAGTGTGGAAAGTACTTCTGGTTCTCTCCCCCCCCCACCCCCGCTTATGGCTACTCAACATAGGAATGCTTTACGAGTTGACATCAAGATTCCTTTTACACAATGGTTCTCAAGCCCGTGGCTCTCCCTCCTGTCTCCCAATGTCATTCTCATTTACCATTACAATTTGCTAGAACACAGAACGAGGACTTCTGTCACTGCTTCAGCCCTAAGGAGCACCATTTCCCCTGAGATCCATATGGACCCCAACCTGAACATATTTAACAAAGCGCTTCACACTTAGTTTGCCTTCAAGGACTTGAGCTAACTGCTGGTGGAAACCTCCAGAGTACTCCCATCGTGTGGATCATCTGTGTAAAATTACCTTTTGGTGTTTTTGATGCATTTTTAAAATCAATTTTTATCACTGCATCTCTCTCTTACTTATCTACGTTCCCGTTCCTGCTCCTCGCACAAAAATCATTGGATTTAGGGATTTAGGATTAAAAAAGGACAAGAGGTTGGGAAAAGATTAAGATGAGAATTACTCGACAGAAAGAAAGCAGGAAGTTATAACAGTACGTTCTTGTTATTTTTCTTATCTTCTTTTCTTCAATTCTTATTTTCAAACTTTGCTTTTGTTTGTTCTATATTGTTAATATATTGAAAAATACATTAGATTGATAGAAGACAGACAGACAGATGGAGAGATATAGAGGTACTGTAGTTTTAACTGTGGAATAAAGTGGTACCTTGGTACTCATTGTTAATTGGTTCCAGGAGGTGTGATGAGTACCAAAAAATTGTACCAAACAACTTTTTCCTACAAGGAATGTTGTAGTGTGTCACAAGGCAGCTAACATTGACAAGTTCTAGCTTGTATGTTGAGTACCAAATAACTATGAGTACTGGGATAATTTTTTTGCGTTAAAATGCGTTGAGAACCAGATTTTATGAGTTTTAAGCAGTTGAGTACCAAGGTACCACTGTACTTTGACAATTACAAGTTGCAAGCCAAAATATTCACCTACAGAAGTAAAAGTAAGTTTACCTGAACGATTCAAGAGTGTTGGCTGCCCAGATATCCGTTCCCAACATGTCCAGAGAGCTGTTTTGGTTTCCATTCTTTAAACAAGAAAGTAGACAAGACAATTGGAGATGTTTCCTTGTATGTTAAAATGTTAGCTTTGTTACAGCATATTTTTTATACCGGTAGTCCTCGACTTAAAACAGTTTGTTTAGTGATCATCTGAAGTTACAACAACACGGGGAAAAAGTGACTTATGACCATTTTTCACACTTACAACCGTTGCAGCATTCCCACGATCATGGGATCAAGCTTGGGGTGCTTGTCAACTGGCTCATATTTATGATGATTGCAGTGGCCCAGGATCATGTGAACGCCTTTTGTAACCTTCTGACAATCAAAGTTAATGGACAAACCAAATTCACTTAACCACATTGCTAACTTAACAAGTGCAGTGACTCACTTAACAACTGTGGCAAGAAAGTATTGTGGTTCACCGGCAGCAGGTGCGGACATCTGAGGTCTCGGAGAGTGAGGACTCAGATGAGGGGCCTGCGTGTGATGCAGGGATGGGGCCAGGACCATCAGGGAGTGGAGTGCTGCCTTCGGAGATTGTGGAGGCTGGCAGCAGTGAGGAAGAGGCCCCCGAGGAGCCTGTGCCAAGTGCATGTACGCGCAGGGCTGCTCAAAGGAAAGAACAGCTGCAGCAGTATGGGCGACTCGGGAGTAAGGCTGCAAGATAATGACCCCTCCCTTAAGAGATAAAAGCCAGCTGAGAAACCGGAGTTCTTTGCAGGAAGCAAAGAAGTTTTTGCACTCAAGCCTTGTGGGGGTTCGAAATATCTTGGTTGGTGTTTGGAGACACTTTGTGTTTGAAATATTTCTTGGCAACTTTATCTAGTGTCCTTGGCAGCCTTGCACAACCTTGGCAAGGCTCGTTCTTATCAAAGACAATTAGTTTGAAACAGCCTTTAAACCGGGAAGGAACGGAATTCGTAAAGAATTGTTAAAAGGTTTTTCTGTTATCTCTGTTTCGTGTTGGTTTCCTTGGAACAAGGTTTGGGTCAGAACAGAAAGGTTGTAAAATGGGCAAAACTCACTTAGCAACTGTCTCACTTAGCAACAGAAATGTTGGGCTCAACTGTGGTTGTAAGTCGAGGACTACCTGAATACAGCTTGTGAGTGGTTCTCAGAGGACAATTAACCAGTGGAACAGCTTGCCTCCAGAAACTGTGGGTGCTCCATCCCTGGAGGCTTTTAAGAAGAAAGTGGTTGTCTACAATGACAAAGGGTCTCCTGCTTGAGCAGAGGGTTGGACTAGAAGACCTCCAGGGTCCCGTCCAACTTTGTTATTCTGTTAATTTGTGTGGTTCCTTGAGGAAGAAAACTCTGCCTGCCATTTTTAACAGTAGGCAGCCCGTTCATAAGTGCAAGTTCAAGGTTTCATTCAATTAAGACAGAGTTAGGAATGAAACTCATTCTTAATCCCAGGGTCTGCCTTTGTTCAATAGCCCCACTGGGTTTTATTTCTAGGAAAGTAGGTGTGAATTCACTCAATGGTATTTACTTTCCAACAGAAACACCACTGAGCTGCTCTGTAATCAAAGTATTAAAATATATAAATACCGTATTTGCCGGCGTATAAGACGACTTTTTTGCCCTGAAAAACATGCCTCCAATTGGGGGGGTCGTCTTATATGCCGGGTCGTCTTATATGCCGGCAAATAGTAATTGGGAAGCACTGAGGCTGCCCGCGGCTGAGGCACTTTTGCGCACCGTGGAAACGAATCCCGTGAAGCCGAAAGGAGCAGCCAGCCTTCTCCCAGCTCCCAAGGAAACGAGGCTCGAGCTCCGCTGAGGTACCCGGCTGGGGCTGTCAGGAGTTGTTACCGCTGGCGCGGCTCCACGCGGCTCCAGTCCCGCGTTGCCTCGGGAAGGGAAAGGCAAAACCAGGAGCCGCTGCTGCCATTGCAAAGCGCCGCCGCGGCTCTTCCTTTTTGCCTTTCCCTTCCCGAGGCAACGCGGGACTGGAGCCGCGCGGAGCCGTGCCAGCGGTAACAACTCCTGACAGCCCCAGCCGGATACCTCAGCGGAGCCCGGGCGGTGCGAGCCTCGTTTCCTTGGGAGCTGGGAGAAGGCTGGCTGCTCCTTTCGGCTTCACGGGATTCGTTTCCACGGTGCACAAAAGTGCCTCAAAAAAAAAAAAAAAGTGCAAAAGTGGAAGGCGTGCGGAAGAGGGGGCGAGTATATAACAAACTATATTTTGAGTGGAAATGTTGGGGGGTCGTCTTATACGCCGGGTCGTCTTATACGCCGGCATATACGGTATTTAATATGTAGAAAGAGTGCAAACCTCACTCCCTTCTACCACTAATGATGTTATCTAGTTGAGTAATGAAATGCCAGAGGGAAAAACAACCTCCAACCAAGCTCAGATAGCACAAAGGACCCAACAGTTCACCCCTAAGCTAGAAATATTCTGTTCTATTGGTACTAAAGGATGTTTTTCGGCATTAAAGAACTCCAATTTTTATTACCTGGTTTTGATTATGGGGTGCTGACCCCTTGCCTCTGTAGCTGGACATGCTGCTTTCTATTTCTTCATTACAGTCAACGGTCCACTGAAAAGAGAGAAAAGAGGATGGATTTGCTGTTTGTCACCCAGAGTCATCTGGGGTTAAATGGACAGCTATATAAATTTGATGAATGAACAAATTAATACATTCTGACTGAAGCAAGAACAAAATAAGTGAGAGCAATGCACCGAGATGGGAATGAGAGAGTTGGCTTTTGCTGGCAGGTTGGAGAGAAAACACCCTTTCTTTCACACCTTGTATCACAGAATATACCTGTGTCAACAGGTGACTTCACCTGGCCAATCTTACTGGAAGTTGAAAGCTGTTCTGACCCAACCTTGTTACCAGCAAGAAAATCTCAAACAAACTCAGTAACTCAAACCTTCACAGCTTTAATCTACGAATAAACTTCTTTGTAGATAAAAGATGGCTTGCGGCCAATTAGTCCAGCCAGAAAAGCCTTGACAGAATTCTTCAGATTAGCTGGAGTCTCTACACACAATGTTGAGTTCTTCGAATGTTTTTGCTTTCTGCAAAAGCAAAAAACCCTTTGAAACCAGGCTTATATTCTCTGAAGGGAGGGGCCATTACGTTGCATTCTTACTCCCGAGTCACCTGTGCTGCTCCAGCTGATCTCTTCTACAAATCATCCTGCGCTCACTCGCACTTAGCACAGGCTCCTCGGGAACCTCCTCCTCACTGCTGCCGGCTAACCACAACAAAAGCTAAGCAGGGTCTGGCCGAGCTGGTTCTCGAATGGGGCACAGCAAAGAAATTGCACAGCCTCTCCAGACTGTCGCCAGATAGGTGGCATATCTAACCCATTGTGGTTGATCTAAAGAAGCTAAGTGGGGTCAGAGTTCATTAACATTTGGATGAGAGTCCACAGTTTTAAACAAGGCTAAAGTCAGATAAAATATATCTGGTTTCTATTTTCCTATAACTCAAATGGAATACAAAATGAGTCATGTTCTATTTTGCCTACAACAATAAAATTATGAAGTGAGTTGGGGAGAGGGAGGAGGAAGGAGACAGGCAATGGTGGGATTCAAACGGTTCATACCACTTTGGCCGAACTGGTTGTTAAAATTGTAAGCTGGCCCCTCCCCTCCATGGCCTTCCAGGAGTCTCCCTACAGCTCATTTTTGCTCTCAGGAGGCTGCTGCAGGGAGGCCTACTAGGCCCAAAATGGGGCGCAGGGTTGGTTGTGGCACAGCCCCTCCCATGGCCCATTTTTGCTCCCAGGGAGGCCAAGTGCTGCCAGGGTTGCCAGATCGCAGTTTGGCTCTGCGGCCAAACTCAAGTCAAAATACGGCCAAATTCAGCCAAATTATTTTTTGCTCATGGTGACACGCATGCGCGAGGGAAGGAGAGCACCAGAGGATGCGCTTGTCCTCCTTTTGCTCATGGTGATGCGCATGCGCGAGGGAAGGAGAGCTCGGGATGGGTGGGGAAGCCGAGGGGCGTGGCGTTGGAACGAGCCGTAATAGGAATGGGTGTGGTGTTGATGGAGGAGGAGTCGCCCCTGCTCGGGTCACAGGCAGGAAGGGGGTGTGGTCGGGCGCCAAGGTCCCGAAGGGGTGTGTGACGGGAGTTGAGAGGAAGCGGGCATGTCGGAGAACTGAGAGGACGCGCTCGTCCTCCTTTTGCTCATGGTGACGCGCATGCGCAAGGGAAGGAGAGCGCCAGAGGACGCGCTTGTCCTCCTTTTGCTCATGGTGACGCGCATGCGCGAGGGAAGGGGAGCGGCTGGGTTGCCATCTGGCTGATTTCACGGCCAAGCAACTTTCGTACGGCCAAATTTCCGGCCAAATAAATTTGGCCGGAGACATCATTTTTTCACGGCCAAGCAGATAGAAATACGGCCAGATTTCTCGAATTTGGCCGGAAAAGCGGCCAGATGGCAACCCTGAGTGCTGCCTGTCACACACCCTGGCCACACCCACCCAGCCAGTCATTAGGGCAGAGAACCGGTTGTTAAATTATTTGAATCCCACCATTGGGGGAGTGGGAGGAGAGGTGGAGGAGGGAGGGAGAGACTGGCCCCAAATCACCCAGCCATCTTTTATTCCTAAGGCAGGAATAAAAAGCATCACCATCTTCTGAGACTGGCTCAAAATCAGCCAGTCAGCTTTCATGCCTAAGGCAGGATTAGAACTCAGAATCTCCTGGTGATTGGCTCAAAGTCACCCAGCAGAATTTCATGTCTAAGGGAGGATTCATAGTCTCCCAGTTTCTAATGCAGCACCCTTTCCGTTAGATCACATTGGCTTTTAAAAGCCACCTATAGGAAGCCAATGATCTACGTGTGGCCTTCCGGTAACTGAAAGTAATTGGGGGCTAAAATTATGCCCCTTAGAAGTTCTCGAGTCAGGTTTGAGTTTGGGTGACTGATCTGCCAAATACATCATTCTTGATTCTTATTCCTAAAAAAGTCTTCCTAGAGACCTGGAAGATTTGCCCCAAACCCAGCCCAGTGACTGATCTATTACTATTAATTATTATTAATAAATTTATTTGCTGCTCATCTTGCAGTTCAAGAATGATACCATCATTGATTATGCCTCTGCAGTCTCAAAACAAGCTTCATTGTTTGTTAAAATGGTGTCCATGCCTGGTTTAAAACACACAGCTTGGAACTACAGTGGAACCTCGGGTCGCGAACGCTTCTGTTTGTGATCAAATTGGGTTCCGACCAAAAAAAATCCACCCAATTGGGTTCCAACCAAAAAAAAATCCACCCGATTTTTGAATCGGGTCACGATTCAAAAATCGGGTGGCAAACAAACCTGGCCGTGGCAGATTCCCTTTCCATGCCCATTTCCCCTTCCGTGCATGCACAGTCCATGTAATTTTTGCCCACACATGCACAGTCGGTTGTGCTTCCACTGTATCTGAAAAACATCAGATATTATTATTGAGTAATAATATCTGATTTTATTCAGTCTACAGTGATTGTTATTCTTCTCACTATGCCTCCTTTTGTGTTTTTAAGCCAGTGGGAATGAGCCACTCCAGGTCTGTCACCCACCTGCGAGATATTGGACTGTGTTTTCTCGTTCTCTTCATCTCCTTCGGTTTTTTCTGTCAACAAGCCTTGGACTTGATATTCCAAAACGTAGCTATCGATGAACCTTTCCAACTCCTCAATTTCTTGTGACCGGTTGCTTCCTGCCTCAGAAGAGGCAGAAGCCACGGAAGAATTTTCCATCCCCCTCTGTGATGAATCAAGAATTGAAGTGTCCTAAAATGGGGAGAGGAAAACAAAACAAAAATTAAGCCAGTGACTGAGACATTATACACACCATATCTTCCCCCTAGCAAAACCTACACAGGTAGTCCTCGGCTTATGATGACAATTAAGTCCAAAATGTGTGTTGCTAAGCAAGATAGTTGTAAAGCAAGCGTCAGGAGAGGCTCCATTCAAAATCCAAGAAAGAAAACCTTAGATTCCATTGTTATAGAGAAAAGGATTTTTACTGAAAATTGAAGTGGTAGCATCAGAAGAATACAGGATCTGAAGCAATAGGTGCGAAAATCACATATAGAAAGTTACCCCATGTTCCCACCCCCAATAGTTCAAACTGGCCCTCCAATCTGAGGTGTGTATAATGTTATGTGGGTGAATCTTCAGGTGGTGTTTCCGACATCTGGTATGCCAAGATGGCTGACCTTGGCTTAGGCAGATAAGGGGCTACATCTGCGCAGTAAGCAAGTAAGCATAATCAAGAAAACACCCCAACTTTAACAAATCAACTCAAACATCCAGCACTCTTTCCCCCCACAAAGTCCAATTATTCTTCTCTCCCCCCCCCTTTCTATGGCAGTCAGAAATATAAGCAGAAGGAGGATTCTTGAAGGCTGACAGCAAGTTTCCCCCCATTTAGCAATCTTTCTTGCCACAGTTGTTAAGTGAATCACTGCAATTGCAAAATTAGGAACACATTCGTTAAGTGAATCTGGCTTTTCCATTGATTTCACTTGTCAGAGGGTCGCAAAAGTTGATTCCTATGACCACGGGACCCTGTAACTGTCATAAATATGAACCAGTTGCCAAGCATCCAAATTTTGATCACGTGACCACGGGGATGCTACAACGGTCATAAGTATGAAAAACAGTCATCCATTCTCAGTGTTCTGACCAAGGCTTCCTGAGACCATAATTATGCACACGCTTATGTAAAACAACTCTTGTTTTATTTCAAAACTGGGAATTATGTTCATTCCCAGCCGGTAATGTGTCCCAAATAGTTCCTCGAGAGAAGCACCCAACCTTTCTCTCCTTTGAATTGCTGTCAACGACTACAGTGCCAAATGAGCTATACAAAACCAACCGAAGTACAAAGTGCACACAGAGCTTCAAGGATTAATCCAAACAGAACAAACGACTTTGCTTCCTACAAAGGTTTCTTCACCTTTGCATTACCTTTATATCTTATGGGAGAGGCAATCACCTCCAAGCCTTACTCCTGAGTTGCCCTTTTTGTCTCAGCTGCTCTTGCCTTCTGGCAACTCTGCGTACACGCGCACTGGGAACTGGCCCCCCTTGTTCCTCTGCCTTGCTGCTGTCAGATTCTGGAGGCGCCGGAGTCAGCACCCCATTCCCAGATGGTCTTGGCCCGATCTCTGCATTGGACGCAGAACCCTCGTCCAAGTCCTTTCCAGACTCCTGGGCTGGTCCCCATTCTTCCCCACTGTCCGATTCCGCTGCAGTCTGCACAGGCTGCCGGCGAACCACAACACTCAGTCATCTAGGTCATGATTGTCCCAAAGGTGCTTTTTCAGGAGGCAACTGGACTTTCTGGTTTTTTTTTTCCTTTTGAAGATGTTTCGCTTCTCATCTAAGGAGCTTCTTCAGCTCTGACAGGATAGTGGTTTTTTTCAGTGCCATTGTAACTTTGAATGGTCAGTAAACAAATGGCTATAAGTTGAGGATTACCTGTACTGTACTAGTTGATCCGATTCTTTATTGCTGAGCAACAAATCCTTTTAGAACTGCAACTTAATGTATGGTTTTTGCCCCTGACAATTTGTAAGAAACCCAAGAACATGGATAAGTAATATGTACAACATTGAGAAAGTATCATGTTTAATCATGTTCAGAGCATTGCAGCGTAAATTCAGCGCCAGAAAAGTAAACACAGAGAGGTGAGGCTTTATTTAACTTCTTTATAAACACATAAAGTAAATTTTACAATATGAGTTGTAGATTTCTCCAACATGGAGCAAATTCAAACAGAAGCAGACGTGTTACAGGTTCAGAGCAGTGCTCTAGTTTTCAGCAAGCAAGCTAGTTTCTCTCTCACTTTAGAGCTGAGCACAGAACAGAGATAAACCAGGCCCGGAACCTCTCTTTAAGTTTCAGCCCTCAATTCAGCTCTCATTGGCTGACTTTGTTACTAAGCTCTATTCCAGTTCATGAATAAACAAATCAATTTTATTTCTCTCTCTCTCTTTCTCTTTCTGACACACACACACACACACACACACACCAGGGGGAGGGGAGATAATTTTTAACCCCCCTACCTAGTGTTTAGTTTTTCTTCCCATTACACCTAGTAGACAATTGGCACTCTTTTCTGGCTGAGGGATCTGGCTCCTCTCCATCTTTATAAAGATCAAACTTGCTATCATAATGTTTTTCAGCTGGCTGGGTGAGAACGAGCGCCGCAACCTGCTTCAATCTTTTTCTTTGGTAGTTTCGTATTATGATAAATCTGCTCCTTGGAAGCCAGTCAAGATTTAAAAGATGTCAACGTGCTACAAAAAAACATATTCTAAAAAATCTGGAATCTGTCTATTTATGAAGAACCTTTGGGGTTTATTATGCTTGGAGCAAGGCCAAAAAGACCATCATGTATTCCTGGAATGATACACATATTCCCATTATCAAAGATTGGGTTGATGAAATGTATATAGTCTCAGCTTTAGAGCTGGCACTTCACAGTCCCCAACTTACAACTATAACTGAGTCTGGGAATTACGGTGGTAAACCCTCCCATACTACCACCTCTTACAATACTAGACTACACAGTATTAACAGTAGAGACCTTCAAATATATATCACAAGACCTAAAATGAACACCTAACATCAAAAACGTCATCAAAAAAGCACAACAAAGAATGTTCTTTCTGCGCCAACTCAGAAAGCTCAAACTGCCCGAGGAGCTGCTGATCCAGTTCTACAGAGGAATTCTTGAGTCTGTCATCTGCACCTCTATAACTGTCTGGTTCTGCAACCCAACAGGACAGACACAGACTTCAGAGAGTAATTAGGACTGCAGAAAAAACCATTGCCTTCCACTGAGGACCTGTATACTGCAGGAGTCAAAAAGAGGGCTGTGAAAATATTTACATCCTGGACATAAACTGTTTCAACTCCTTTCCTCAAAACAACGCTATAGAGCACTGCACTCCAGAACAACTAGACACAAGGAGTTTTCTTCCCGAACGCCATCACTCTGCTAAACAAATAATTCCCTCAACACTGTCCAACTATTTACAAAGTCTGCACTACTATTACTGTTAATCTTCTCATCACTCCTTATCACCCATCCCCTCCCACTTGTGACTGCATGACTGTAACTTTGTCACTTGTATCCTTATGATCTATATTGACTGTTTCCTAGTATGATTTTATTGCTTATTGTATCCTATGACTATCATTAAGTGTTGTACCTTATGATTCTTGACTTGACGAATGTATCATTTCTTTTATGTGCACTGAGAGCATTTGCACCAAAGACAAATTCCTTGTGTGTCCAATCATACTTGTGTGTCCAATCACACTGTCCAACAATTCTATTCTATTCAAAAAGTCATGATGGTTTTAAAGCAGGTCATCATGCAACTGACTTGATTTTACTACCATTTTTGTGTCAGACCCTAAGCCTGTGATGGCGAACCTATGACACACGTGCCAGAGGTGGCATGCAAAGCCCTCTCTGTGGGCATGTCGCTGGTGCCAGAGTGCCAGAAAACGGCCCAAAAAACAGCCAAAAATCAGGCTGTTTTTCAGGCCGTTTTCCCGGCTGTTTTCAGGCTGTTTTTGGCCCCCCAAAAGTGGCCTGGAAACAGACCAAAAATGCCCCCAAAACAGGCATGTGCACACCAGCGAGCTGGTCTTCGGGTTTCGGTGCTCCGGCATGCACATATGCACAAGCATGCAAGCGCATTCTGGTTTGGGCACTCGGTGCTGAAAAGGTTCGCCCTCACTGCTAAAACACAGCAATATTATGCAAACACAGCAGTTATTAAGCAAACTCAGCGGTCACTAAGCAAAGCCGTTGTTTGCTCTGGGCCACTTTTTTGCTGGAAATGCCAGTTTCTAGCAAAAAAATGTTGTAAATCAATCCCATGAGCGTATGATGTTGCAAATAAATGCAGGCTGGTTGCCCGGCAGCCAAAATGTGGTCACGTGACCAGGCTGTCCTCATAACCATAACTTCAATGATCGTAAGTCATAAGTCAAGGACTACTTGTAATGGAAAAACTAGCCAATGTGATGTTGTGTGGTTTAAAAACTGAATTGAAAAAAAATATTTATCTGGAGGTCATGATTGTTACATAGGCAGTCCTCGACTTACAATAGTTTGTTTAGTGATGGTTCAAAGTTACAATGGCACTGAAAAAAGTGACATGACCCTTTTTCACACTTATGACCGTTGCAGCATCCTTGTGGTCACATGATGAAAATACAGACACTTGGCAACTGATTCATAATTGTGACGGTCACCGTATCCTGGGGTCATGTAGGCAGCTTTTGTGAGCTTCAATGGAGCTTCAAGTCAACGGGGAAGCCAGGTTCACTTAACAACTGTATTACTAACTTGACAACTGCAATGATTCACTTAATGACTATGGCTAGAAATGTCATGAAATGGTGTAAAAGTCACTTAACAAATGTCTCACTTAACAACATAAATTTTGGGCTCAATTGTAGTCGTTAAGTCAAGGAGTGTCGGTAATTGAATGTTCTTATTTAGTTTAGAGAGGAGTTTGCTTTTAAATAAGCTTTAAAAAATATTTTTTGTTTTGTTTGTATTCATGTATCTTGACACCTCTAGTCCTTCTCTTCAGTAGACTAGACATACCCAATTCCTACAACCGTTCTTCGTATGTTTTAGCCTCCAGTCCGCTAATTATCTTGGTTGCTCTTCTCTGCAACCAAGTCTCAGCATCTATTTTATATCATTTATTTATTTATTTGATTTGTCAATCGCTTACAAGATGATAGGTAT